ATCTGAGAGTTGATGTATGTGTGAAAAAAGCTAATGCTAAGTTATCATCTTCCAGACTCTAATTAATCAATTAGAGATAACAGAGACCCCAGCTCTAGGTGCTTCATGTCCTCAGGAAATTCGGGTGCATTTCTTAGCTCCAAGTTATTAGCTGTGGGTCTGTGGATCTAGCTGAAGAGGATAGTACCACAGCTGCAAAAATCTCAAAACCACTTCCTTCTACTCATCAGTATCATGTATGTTTTGCTCTGTTTCAACCAAATGTTATTAATCCAGAAAATATTTCTGTGTGGGTCCTGGATCATTTGATGGTGGGGTGAATGTGAGGAACGATAGGTGGTGCTGGATGTCGTGTGTGTATCGCTGTCATGTTAGGCTGTGCTATCTGAGCAATTTGCCCAGTGCCTGCATGAAGTGAACTGGAGACATTTGATTACTGTGCAACTCTGTAAATGAAGGGTTTGTAATGGAAGTATGGTTTCCAATTATTTTGCGTTGAGAGCATGCCTCGGCAGTCCTTCAACAAGAAAGGCTCAGATGATGAAATCACATGCCCCATGTCCTTACTACCTCTCCCAAGCTAGTCACAGGGGGATGGTGTGGGTACTGCAGTGGTCCTGGTGAGTGAAAATGAGGCCCAAAAGAAAATGTTTGCTGCTCGGTGTCATCAGAAGACCATCTGGGTTTATTTTTGTCCTAAATTCAGACTGTGCTGCATCTAACTTAGCTCTTTCAACAGTGATGGGTCTTTTTTCAGTAGTGAAGCTCAGAGCACCTTGCAAAGGTAGTACTGTGACTGCTCTTTTTTAAAGATGAGGAGACTGAGGCCCAAGGAGGAAAAATGTGTTTGCTTGTGTCCTTTAATTTGTATCTGATGAAAAATTGAAGTTCTAAGATGGATGATAGTCAGTTCAAGCTTTCACTGTAGATAATGAACCTATGCTTGAATCATCTAGTGTCCACTGTTTGGACCCTTGTACAGGTTGCAGGTTTCTCTAGATCGTTTCAGGAGAGAAGGCTGAAACTCAACCTGCTGTTCACTGTGGATCCATATTCACATGTAATTGAGTTTGGATGGTATGGACATGCATGATCAGTGCTAATCTGTCAACATGTTATCCTGTAAAATCTTGAGGTTATATCATCAGCCACCACAGAGAAGATCAGTGGTGGGCTCTGTTCAACAAGTGCTTATCATTGGGTTTGGTGAGAGAATATAAAGAGGATGCCTGAGCTCATCCTAGACTAAGAATGTGTGGGTACACCACACACAAGACAGCGACAGTCTGTGATGGACTGTGACAGTGCAAAGAACATGCTCTGTGTTACATGTGACATGCACTACTATCATGGCGTGGCCTGTGCGCCACAGAGTCATAACACAACTGCTGTCTTCAGTTAAATTAGTGAGAGATGTTTGGGTCGTTGTACTGAAGAGAAAACACTGTCCTCTTAACTCGTGTAATTGCAGACAAAGGAAGGCTAGTAAAATATTTGTCTATGGTAGGGCAATGCCATCTAGTCACCAGTCTACCAGCTGTCAGGCTCCTGACTCACAGGTAATGCAAACTTGACCATTTTATGTCCTCCACTTTACAGCAAAATGTCAAAGTCCTTCTAGGTCTTATGGGCTTTTTTTTAATATCGTCTTATTGCAGTGTTTCTTGAGAGCACCTTTGAGGTAGCATTTTCAAGGTATCAGTGTTGCCTGGCCCTTGAGTGCACTCAGTAGTATAAAGAGACCCTCTTCAAAGCCATCCTGAGTGCAGGCTGAGGTCTGAGAGGTCTCCAGAACTTGAGTGTCAGAAACATTTGTGGTGAAAACCAAGGTCAGACCAACATGCCTTTGGGAACATTGGATAAGTTTATCACTGGGGTGGGGGAGGAGGGAGGGGACGGATAGGGAATGTTTGTTTTTTGATGGGGTTTTTTTTCTTCCTTTAGGTGGAAAGTTTCTCTGTGTTGTTCAGTAATTGCTTCAGGTGGAAAATCATTTCCCACCTTGCAGCAAAAGTATGCCTGGCAAGGAGAGAAGTGTTATAAGAGCAGCACTTCATACAGTTGATTTTCAGCCAAAGTCACGTCCCTCTGGGAGCGGTTACAGCTGGTGAAATTTTTTAGCAGGCTTGAAGCTACTCTGGCTTTGGGGGCAGAGGAAACCTGTTGCTATCTGCAGGAGCTGCATAAGTGACATCATCACATGTCACTTTTTCTTTTGCCTGGACACAGTTAAGGTGGGCCCTTGAAGCTCTCAGACCCAAGCTGGAACAAGAAAGGGGCCATGCTGCCCTAGTAAAGCAAAAGGTTTACTATAAAGAACATGTGAATTACTTAAATCAAGGAACTGTTTGAATACTTCTGTGACCCATTCTTCAGGCCTAGAACTCCCATTTATTTTTGATTTATAGCATCAATATTTTTTTTAAGAAATAATCTTCAGGACATTAATGAAGGAATTTCAAATTAATAAACATCAAAAAGGACTAAATAAGAGTATTTTAGCAAAGCAGATATTGATGGAAATCTGGCAATTGCATGCTTTTGAAAAAAAAAGTTTAAAAGATCTATCAGCCACAGCGCCTTTAGCTGGAGGAGTCACACTGGCTACAAAATATATACATGTCTGAATCTATTGATCACTCAGATGTAATCATTATGAATTAAAACATTTAATAATGTATTGCATACTGTATTATTTATGGCCAGTCTTTGAGAAGGAGCCCAGCTGTAGCCACTCAGGGCCAGTATTTTAGAATCTAAATAAATGACTGTATTTTTCATATGTTCTGGGAAAAAACTCTCAGCTGGTGTGAACAAGTTAGAATATTTAGGCTATCCTCTTTTTTTTTTTTTAATCAGGGACCCATATATTCACTGAACAGTTTAGCTTCTCATCTGCCTTTTTTTTCTTTTAATCTTCTGCCACCTGTTTAAGAAGTGTAAAGTGCTAGTAAATTTTATGTGCAACTGTTAAAGTAATTTTATTTTTAATGAGTCTGTTCTAGGTATTTTAATGTCCCTTTATAAATATTTATATTTTCAATATGTCTTCATTTAATTGAAAAGATTCTTCACATTATTTTCAGACAACCGCAGGTAGTAGGCGTAATGACATATCAACACCCTGACCTTTTAGCTTCTGGATTTCTATTAGTTCATCCACATTTTGCTTGTCCATGTATATTATATTTTAGTTTGTATATGATTTTCCTCTATGGACTGTCAGAACGAAGGGTGTTTTCCATACAAACACCTTAATAAACTGGAAAGGAAGAAAATATGCTATTGCATGCTAGCAGCTGTCACACAGACTGTGTCTTGAGTATTGTAATCAGCATGCACTGCTACCAGAAATCCACACTGAAATAATGTTTGATATTTGCACGCTCATCAGTCAGAGGGATGGTCTCAAGTCATATTCATCAACACAGCAACAGCTTCTGATATTCATGAAGTTGTTTTGAAATTACTTCAATTATTTATCTAAAAACACTGCTCATTATGATATCCTGTTACCATCACTTTTGTTTTAAATGTCTTCCGTGAATTTCTTGTACTACCAGTGTCATTTACCACTAGTGTAAAATTCACCAATGAATTATGGCTATGAAGAGATGGGAAGCAATTGTTGCTAATTCTGCTGGTGCAGGTTCCTCCCCTAGTAATCGGCTATTAATGTGATTTCTACCATTGCCCCTTAATAACTCAAGCAGCTGGCTACCTACTGATTCCTTGGGAAATAATTCTACAGGCAACAGGCTTCGCTGAGTATTTTTTACCTGATGTACCATCTTCTTTATTCTCCTTTTTTCAATTTCTTCTCATTATTCTCACCAATTCTCTCAAATTATTCTCATATATATAGGTAACCTGTTTGTCTAATATCCTCCTTTTTGCTTATTTTCCATAGCCATTGTTAGCTGACCCAGGCATATCTATTTCTTTTAGCTTCATGAATCTATTGCCTTAAGACCCTATTCAATTTCATTTTTTAATTTCTGACCTCCCTTTGATTTGTCCAGAATTTTCTGGCATACAAATACAAAGCATGTAGTAGCATACTCTGGTTTGTACAATGAAAGAGTATTATTTTTGTGCTCTATGATTTGGTATCTCTATGAATATACATCAAAACCATGTATAAAACTGAATGGGTTGAATATAAATCCATGGCACTTCAGTGTGAAATAGATGGTAAACATGTCTACTTTTTGTCTGAGTGAAGCCAAAACAGTGGGTCAAAAAGAACCTCACAAGAAATTACAGTGGAGGACACTATAGATATTGAAATGTCCCATGATAAAACCCTGGTGCTGCCAGGTTACATATCTCTGTCTTCTATAGAGAGGCTATTTAAGACACAGTATATTCTAGTACAGGTGTTACTAGCTTATTTAAACCAGCATCAAGAAATACTTTAAGGTTCCTCTCACGAAAATATTGACCAAAGACCTTTAGAATTGGTTGGCATGTGCAAATCATTCACATTTCTAAGTAATCCTGCTGATTAATGGTTTTAATTTTTGCATTGTAGCATTTTTATTCCTTTCATTATATTGAAAAATCTGCAATTTTGCAAGTAAACCCCCTGTAGTTGGTGAATCTGCTTGTTAAAAGAGAGTCCTGTGTAACACGAGTGAATAACGTGTCAGTAACTTACAGTGATTAATTCAACTTCATGTAAATCGCACAACTTTTTGCTGAAGCTCAGAGGTGATCAGGAAGATGCTACATCTGAAAAATACTGCCTTTTAAGTTTCTGTTGAATAGGTTTTTGACTTTTTAAAATTCTGATAGTCGTTACATACTTCTAGAAGAGCCTTGTGGAAACAGGATGTTCTTTTTGTTCTCTGTCACTTTTGAAATAAAACTTGTCTTGGTATTAGTGCGTGTGGATCCATATATGATAATATTAAAAATATTAATTAAACCGAGTGTAGTATTCTTGCAGCTCAGTCTTAGACTGAAACTTAATAACGTGTATGATTTTGTTTTCCCAGCTTATACAAATCTTTGTCAGAAAGATTGAGTCTGAAGGACCAGCTTAACGGTACTTCCAGTGCTTCTGAAGGTGGACTGCAAGGCAGGGAGGATGTTGTGCTCCTTACCCATTGCCAGATTGAAGATCTGGCAGCTCAGCTGCAGCAAGCTCGGGCAGAGCAAAAGGACACAGAGCTGAAGCTCCAGACAGCCCTGGAGGCTTCACGGGAGGCCAATGAAAAAGTTCGGAAGTAAGTCACTTGCCTTCTTTCAAGAAAAATTGCAGTTGAAAACCAAACGAAATGTTGTTTCTTCTGGTATTTTGTCTATGACTGAAAGTGTGGCGGTACTCAGAAAAGGTCCTTTAAAACGATTCCTTCTTTGTCAGCCATTCAGCTCATTACCTACTCAGCGTGAAGCCTCTTTTTAACAGTTTTATAGTATTATGCAAGGCAGTGTGCCTGTCATTACTGTTATGGAAACTGCTTTCTACATGTGCAAGGCACGAAGAAAGTGTTTCCACCTCCTATGAATGGTTTTCAATGTCTTTTTACCCCATGGCAATCCTATGGCAACAGAGTATTTGCCTTTATAATTGCATGGTAGAATATTAAAGTTCTCATTTTTGGTCTGTTATGCATCTGGTAGGTTTCATGCCATGGTAAAGGCTGATGGGGTTGTTTAGGGGTGGCTTCAAAATCTCACTGAAACCAACAGGAAGTCTCTGAGTCGGTGAACAGGGATGGTATTCTCTTTCCCATCATAAGATTCCCTGTTAAAAGGTAACTGAACTCCAAAACCTGAAGTTCATCTGTACTGAAGTCCTTATTGTCGGGTTTGTTATTACTAGCACATAAGCCTTTGAAGGTCTGATTGCTGGGACATTGGCAAATGTGTAGGCAGAGCCCCTTTGCAGTCTGGCACTTCTCATCTCTGCATTACATTCATCAGCTGCAGAATACCCCTCTCGCACCTTTCCAAGGTGGTCGATGCTGAACTGATGCAAATTTTCCTGTCTGTCCATATTTGTCTTCAACTTTAATGTCTGCAGCATGTTTCCGGAGTAGCCAGAAATTGGCTTCTAATGTATTGCAAGGACATAACAAGAGTTCTTCCTGTTCAAAAAAATACATGCCGAGTACTCCTATTAAAAAATAAAGAAATTATAATTTTATATTTTTAATT